CTACTTTTGAATGGTTATTTTATAGTGCAATAACACTTCACCATTTTACATTTTGTACGGTTTTTTTTTATTAAATAAACGCTGCCTTGGTGAGCAGGAGAAGCTTATTTTAAAACATTTTGAAAAATACTACTGATCCCAAACTTTGTGTATCTAGTTGAAGCCAGAATTAATAGCCCCCTTTGAATTTTGAATTATTAGCCCTTCTCAGTCTACAGAAAAAACCTTCTTTATACAATAACTTAATAACTGCTTTGACTGAACCCTTAGAATTTGTAATTTACTTGATCCTTGAGATCTGAGTGATCTGTTAGGGTTGTATTCAGTCAGCATCTGTAATGTATTGAGCTCCTATAGGCCGTTTAGTGATTTATAGACAAGTACTAATACTTTAAAATCTGTTCTAAATGTAACTGGTCAGAATCCTGGCCGCAGCATTTTGAATGAGCTGCAACTGTCTGACTATGTTTTTGGAAAGGCCAGTGAGGAGGCCATACAGTAATCCACCCTGCTGCTGATAAAATCTTGAACAAGTTCCTCTAAATCCTCACTGGGAACAAAGCATCTAACTCTTGCAATGTTTTTGAGATGATTTACTTACTGCTTTGGAATGACTCCTGAAACTCAGATACCAAATGATGTGTAACAGGGCAAGGAAATGTTCACAGTATGTCTGATAATATTTTTTCTTCTGGAGAAAGTCTTATTTGTTTTATTTCGGCTAGAATAAAAGCAGTTTTACATTTTTAAAAACCCATTTTAGGGACAAAATTATTAGCCTCTTTTTTTTTCGATAATCTACAGAACAAACCATCGTTATACAAACACTTGCCTAATTACCCTAACCTGCCTAGTTAACCTAGTTAAGTAGTTACCTACTTACTTTAAGCTGAATATTAGTATGTTGAAAAATATCTAGTGATCATCAACATCACATCGTGGGGTATATCAACACGAGTACAATAAGATTCGAATAAATTACACAAGTAGTGAATTGATTGTCTAGGATAGACTTTAAATGAATTGTGCAACCATTTTACATTCCTATCATCATAAAGCAACTCAAACACAGTTACACAATGATTATTGTTCATAATATCTGATGACAGAATGCTGACATAAACATAAACATCGAATACTACAATAAGAAGTAAAAAAAAAAGTACTTTAAATGTCTAACCTTGCTGGAAGACGAACTTATGCACCTCCTTGCCAAAATAGTCCTCATCCTCATCCTGCACAGGGACGATCTTCGTCTTCATTTCTTCGCTCAGTTCAACAGTGCTATTATATAACGAAAGCAAGGAATCCGGGATCTTCTGTCCGTCGTCGTCCGCTCCGGATTCAGGCTCTTTAGCCATGCGCAGTTTACTGAGGATCTGACCCCGAATAGCCTCAATCCGCTTCTTCCTCACCACCTCCAAATCCAGAGTCTTACAGGTGGACATGCTGCCCGTTCCCGTGACCAAACACAGGGCGGTCAGCACCAAGCAAACCAACCTCATAATGCTGAAATGTACGACCAAACTGTCCAGCGAGCAAGGAAAAAATGAAATGGAAAGGATCGAAAAGCGTCTGATTATAGAGGTGATGCTACCTGTTGAGGAGTCTGGAAAACACCTTGAATAATGGACTCAGCAGAACAGATGATGTCCGTCAATATGGGAATTTCCTAAGACCTCCATCCAGACAGAAACTAGCTTACAAGCAATTATTAGGCAAGCGCGTATATGAATAGACAGATATGGGATGAAGCCATACACAAATATGAATTCACCACACATGCATCACTGCTGGCAGTCGCACAAATGAATCATTATTCGATCTACACGGCCTGTTTTTCTTTCTATTTTAGGGTTTGGATAGTTGTGAAAACACAGAGACGCGACTGTAAGTGTGTTTACTTGCTAACTTTTCCTCTTTCCTGATTAGTGATTCACTTCTCATGGGTTTGACCTGATGTTTTAGTCATCTCATGCAAATGAAACCTCTGATGAAGTCCTGTTTTAAAAAGTTAACCAGAACACACAACGTCATCCTGAAGCATCCTGCACCAAGACAAATGGACACTTTTATTATTATTGTTTTAACAGATTTCCTCAAAAGCTTGCTTTAAAACAACAAGCTTTCCTCTGTTAGCCTGACTTTCTGGATAAATGCTGATAATCTACTAAAACTAATGATGTTTGTTTGATTTAAAAGTAAAAAAAAGCCTAAATAGTTCTTAAAAAGCTGCTTTTTTAAAGCGTTCCTCGCTCAGATTTGAAGCTTTCCTCTGCTAGCTTGACTTTCTGGAAAAATTGCTAATAATCTACAATAATTAATGATGTCTTGTTTGATTTGTAAGTAATAAAACAGCCTAAATAGTTCTTAAAAAGCAGCTTTTTTTAAAGAGTTCCTCGCTCAGATTTAAAGCTTTCCTCTGCCAGCCTGACTTTCTAGATAAATGCTGATAATCTCCTAAAACTAAAGATGTTTTGCTTGATTTGAAAGTTAAAAAAGCCTAAACAGTTCTTAAAAAGCTGCTTTTTTTAAGTGTTGCTCACTCAGATATTTAGATTTCCTCAAAAGCTTGCTCTTAAAACAACAAGCTTTCCTCTGCCAGCTTGACTTTCTGGATAAATGCTGATAATCTACTAAAACTAAAGATGTTTTGCTCGATTTGAAAGTTAAAAAAGCCTAAACAGTTCTTAAAAAGCAGACTTTTTTAAAGCGTTCCTCTCTCAGATATAAAGCTTTCCTCTGCCAGCCTGACTTTCTGGATAAATGCTGATAATCAACTAAAACTAATGATGTTTTGCTCGATTTGGAAGTAAAAAAAAAAGCCTAAATAGTTCTTAAAATGCTGATTTTTTTAAAGTGTTGCTCATTTAAATTAAAAGATTTCCTCAAAAGCTTTTTTTTAAACAACAATCTTTCCTCTGCCAGCTTGACTTTCTGGATAAATGCTGATAATCTACTAAAATTAATGATGTTTTGCTCGATTTGAAAGTTAAAAAAGCCTAAATAGTTCTTAAAAAGCAGCTTTTTTAAAGTGTTGCTCACTCAGATATTTAGATTTCCTCAAAAGCTTGCTTTAAAACACCAATCAATTTTGTGCTAGCCAAACTTTCTGGAAAAATGCTGATAATCTACTGAAAGTATAAAGTATAAAAACCTAATTAGTTCTATTTACAGCGTTGCTCTGGCAGATTTACAGATTTCCTCAAAAGCTTTCCTCTGCTAGCCAGACTTTCAGATTTTCTGGAAATAATCAGCTGAAATTAATGAGGATTTCCTTGATTTGAAAGTAAAAAAAAGCCTAAACAGTTCTTAAAAAGCTGCTTTTTTTAAAGTGTTGCTTGCTCAGATTTACAGATTTCCTCAAAAGCTTGCTCTTAAAACAACAAGCTTTCCTCTGCCAGCCTGACTTTCTGGATAAATGCTGATAATCTACTAAAATTAATGACGTTTTGCTCGATTTGACAGTAAAAAAGCCTAAATAGTTCTTAAAAAGCTGCTTTTTTAAAGTGTTGCTCGCTCAGATTTACAGATTTAGTCAAAAGCTTGCTTTAAAACACCAATCAATTTTGTGCTAGCCAAACTTTCTGGATAAATGCTGATAATCTTCTAAAATTAATGATGTTTTGCTCGATTTGACAGTAAAAAAGCCTAAATAGTTCTTAAAAAGCTGCTTTTTTTAAGTGTTGCTCGCTCAGATTTACAGATTTCCTCTAAGCTTGCTTTTGAAAAGAACAGGCTTTCCTCTGTTTGCCCGACTTTCTGGAAAAATGCTGATAATCTACTCAAATGAACGACGATTTGCTCGGTTTGACAGTCTTCTCTAGCTTTTTTCTTTCCAACGAAGAGCAAAGTTGCTCTGGCAAAATGTAAACAACTCAGAACAAACGTTTGTACAGCCTGAAGGCTTCACGATTGAACAATAAAAATGCCTAACGGCGTTTTCTACATGCTTTAAAGTCTCCTTTCCATCTCCAAACAAGACAAACAAAACGTTCACACAGCACAGAGAGGAACTGAAAGGAAAACAGATCCCTCGGATAGAAGAAAAGCAAAAATACCCTGACGTTTTGCCTCTGATGATGTAATGTTTCAGGAAAATCAAACTGAACCAAAGCACGAGTGACAGATGGAGTAAACAAAGAGCCAAGCAAATCCCAGAAGCAGTGATAAGTGAGGTTCAAATGCTCCTCTCTCTTCTCGTCTGTCTTGAGTGGGAAACACAGTCCTTCAGAGCCTGCTTCTCCTTGCTAAAGCACTGGTTTTATGAGCTCCCTCTTGTAACACACTCCCCGCTCCCTTTCGCTTGTCAGAGCTTGCTGGTGACAAAATGATTTGCAGAGCTTTTACGTTCCAGTAACTTCTCTCTCTCCCTCTCTCTTTCTTTTTTTCTGGGTTGCTTCTGCTCCACTGTTACCCAAGAACTCTCCGCCCAGGAAATGAGGCTCTCTGAAAATCTACACTTCTCTTTCATGGGCCGGGAAGCTTTTTAGCTGCACACAAACGCTCAGCGAAAGGTCAGACAGGTAAATAGCACGGCCGTGACACTTACGTCTGCGCAAACTAACCACACGCTTTAATAAACGAGTGCCAGGTCAGATGATGACAGATGCTGGAACGCTCTTGTTTACACAAACACACTGATCCCTGTCTGGGTGCACAGCAGCACACTATTATCAATGTCACGTTTGGCTTGTTTTAAAGGGGCCATGTGAAATTAAAAGTTTTGTTTGGGTGTTAGTATCAGTATTGATTGTTTGTAGGATATATATTGTGCCCTAAAACAGTGACAAAGCTTGTGTTTAGGAGATTTAAAACTGATTTTGCCACTTTTTCCTAAATGGATCAACGTTTTGTTTGTTTTTTGACATTACCTCATACTTCAGTTTCTCATCAAATCTTCTGACCAATCAAATGAGTATCTGGCATGCCCCGCCCCCTACAGGATACTTCTCATTGGATGCGCCAGAGCTCAACCTCTCACTAGCAGAGTGGTGATGAAACTAAACACTGTTGGCTGTTATGTAAAAGGGGAGGAGCTACTCTATGTCCCGCCCTCTTTTCATGTTTTAGTTGAGATTACATCAAATTTCAAATTAAAAATGCACATTTTCAAAACACTTTACAAAACCGTCAAAGGTTAGTTTAATGCTTAAACTGGATTCCTGGATGAACGCAGCTCTGCACAGCGAAACTTGAGCCAAAACGATTCAAATGGCTGCGCCCGCTCGTCGAATAAGAATAAGGTGAATACGCAATCCATACCGCCAAACCACCAGGGGCCGCCTCTTGCTCTTAAATGTGAGTCTGTTCTGTGCTTTCGCTTTGTTTAGGCATGACAACAATTTAAAATAAAAATAAAAACGGCGCGATTCCTCTTGCTTTTCATTAATGGACCCCTCCTATGCAATCCTAAAAATAGTCATATAATGGTGCATGACTGTCAGACGCGCTCCATAGTGATACATAGACTCTGTTTCCCAAACGGATTCTGTACACGCGATTTGAAGCGGAGTGAAAGTCTGGCTTTTGGGTACGTTTTCAAACAGATTTACACATAATTAATAGTAATAATATCTAAAGTTGTCGATCTTGGTGTTTTTTTTTTATTTCAAACACAGCTAATCTCGTCTTAAATGAGCATATAAAGTCAGGAAAGCAGTCGAATGCCTTCATTATATTGTTAGATGTGTGCATTTTTAAAGTGACACCTCTTATTTCATGTAATCAAATGAAAGAAATCTTAATAAATGAGAGATTCATTAATTGCTCTTTAATCAGAATGTGTAAGTTATACAGTGGAGAAACGGCTAATGAGATTTGAGAGCTTGATTCTGTTTCATTATAACAGCTATTCATTTTAATAAGCTGGACTGTTTGCTAATGTATTCGCTGCTAATGTAAACTATTTATTTTTTCTTTTGTAAATAATAATAAAACATATTAGTGACCATTTAACTGTTTATTTACAATGAAACCACTCCAAACGAACATCTTTAGTAATTTAGGGATTTTTTAAAGGGGAGGGGAGGGGGGGGGGGGTCCCTTATTATGGTGGTCATATTTCTTATTTTCACATCCCAATGTTGACAGGTATGACTTAGAGAGTTGGAGGTGGTTGGAGATAAACTATGCAGAGGAATTGAGTTTGAGACCATTGGTTTAATGTGTGTGTGTGTGTGTGTGTGTGTGTGTGTGTATGTGGTCTAATCCAGTTCAATGATCTATGCTAAGCTAAGCTAAAAGTGCTCCCGTCAGACCCAGATCAGTATTTTCTATACAATATAATACTTACTTTACTATAAAATTATAAAAATTCTTTAGTCATTTTTTGAGTGAGATGCTAATGGTCTAATCAAATTCAGTGATCTATGCTAAGCTAAGCTAAAATTGCTGCCGTCAAACCTGAAGATTGGCTGAAAGGATTCAAAAATTCTATTTTTACTTTACTATACAATATTTATTTTATCACAAACTTCTCTGATGCTAATGGTCTAATCCGATTCAATGATTTATGCTAAGCTAAAAGTACTCTGCCAGACCCAGGGATCATCTGAATGGTTTTAAAAGTTCAATGTTTACTTTACTATGCAATATTTACTTTACTATAAAATTATAAAAAAAATCTTTAGTCATTTTTAAACAAGATGCTAACGGTCTAATCTGA